TCGTCTTACTCCTATTTCGGGAAGGAAAACATAACTGTTCTATTTTAAAATTCCAAACCATATTTAGTCCTGTTTTGGAAAATGTCTCTAATTAAAACAGAACACATTCAATGAAAAGTAATCGTAAATATCATTATTGACATTCTCTCTATATTTTGGCAGTTTTATTAGTCATTTATATCTTACAGTTAATTTGTAAATAATTAAGTTCATCAATACTTATTTCAGAGAGCATCTACCAGCAAACTAGTGATTGTCATACAGCCCCTTGTTATTTAGACAAATACATTTATTGATCTTGCTTAAATGACCATATATACAAGACATTAATCTTACAGAAGATTAATGCCACACGTACATGTACCTATTTTATGTCAACTAGACTATATTAGAAGTGTACACATTGTTGTTCTGTTTCTTTTTTCTGTTAAAAGACTATAAAAGGCATTAAATTGCAATCTATATTAATAACGAGCGAACATGTACAACCAATACGGCGTATTAAAGAAGTAGTATTATTTGTTAAAAGGATTGAGCATGTGACGGAATAAGATGGTTTTTGAAAGAAAATGACATATCCCGAAATTCGTTGCTTATTTTATAATTGAAATTAAACAATATAATCGTTGCTCAGGACACCAGTTCAAGTTATTAAAAAACTTGTTACACGAGGATATGAGTTTCACCCGTACCCGGGGCGTAGCTCACCTGGTAGGAAGGGAGTGTCACAAGGGAGAGATCCCGAATTTCCATTAGAGTGGGTTCAAAGCGCAATTTATATCCTCCCATCTAGCTGTCCGGTCGGTGTTGACGGGCCCTCAAGGATGGGGTTCATCCTTTTTTAGTTTCACCGGTAAAATGACTTACTCCCTCCGTCCCACAAAGATGTTCCCGTTTTACTTTTTTGGATGTCCCAAAAAGAAGTTCTCCTTTCTCTAATTGAAAAGTTATCCTACATCAAAACAGTATCAAACAGTGCAAAACAATGTCAAACAGTGTCTTAACTGTGTCGAAACAGTAAAATTTACCCTCTGGTAAGTTTATTTCCTTAATATGTGTGTAAGTCAAACCGAGAACATCTTTGCGAGACAGAGGGAGTATATAACAAGATAGTCTCTCTATCTTGGATGTATCTTTCTATTTTAAATTTTTCCTGTCCAAAATCAAATTTATTTTCTTTGTTTACAGAATTTATATGTGGGAGTTAGCTTTAATGAATTGAAAGGAAATTAAAATGATAAATTTTGTCATGTACGAAGTATTTTATATGTATATATGTACTAGTACGTCATATTATTTTATTTGCTTGCAGTCATCCCCTTAATATAATGATTTTTTTTATTTGTATACACTTTGTTTATACACACCTTTATGAGAGATTATTGTTTTGTTTGTGAATTCAAGACATGTTTAGAGACATGCTTTTTTGTGAACGAAATTCACACACGAAAAATAGCTTTCTCACAAAGATGTGTCTAATGTGTGTATTAGAAAATGTGTATAAGTAGCAAAATTAGAAAAGAGAAAACTGTCAAATAGGTCCTCGAACTTTCATAAAAAAGTCAATTAAGTCCTTCTAAAGGAGACTTTGTCCGGCCGTCGCGATTTGGGGCGGTTCCCGGTGGAATTTTTTGATGAAATTTTTTGAGCATCTTATTCATCAAGTCTAGTTTACTCATACCAAATTTCAGCTAAAAATTCAATTGAGAACGCATTTAGATTAATTCAAGAACGCAAAAATGCGCAGTTATCTTCAAGAATTAATTTGAATGTGTTCCCGATTGAAGTTTTAGCTCAAATTTGGTATGAATAAACTAGACTTGATGAATAAAATGCCAGAAAAATTTCATCAAAAAATTCCACCGGGAACCGCCCCAAATCGCGACGGCCGGACAAAGTCTCCTATAGAAGGACTTAATTGACTTTTTTTATGAAAGTTCGAGGACCTATTTGATAGTTTTCCATTAGAAAATTATATCGAAATCCATACACTTCAATGTTTCGTTTTACCCAATAGGTAAACACAACTCGTTTTGCCCATTGTCCTGTTAAGGTTTCTTTTGGACATGTTACTCATTCAATGCTCTTTGTTTAGTGTTTAGCACTTACAAATTAGTTTTTTTCTATCATTAACACCAGGTTATTATGTCTTCACGGGACTAAGCATGTGCTCCCAAGAATTCTCCTTACATCATTGACAAAAAGCCTCAAATGATCATTTAAAATCCCAATGGCTATCTATACACCACCACATACAAGAAATCAGTCTTTGAACAATTGACTTCACACTCTCAAGTCCGCAATGCAACTTTTGGAAGAATCGTCACAATTTGTCAAACAATATCATGTATCTTGTAAAAAGTTAAAACTCTAACACACGAGAAAAATCTCTCAAATCCATCTTCTTGGATTTGAATCAAAAACTTCGCGCATAAGTAGAATCTAAGTGTGAAATGTGGTGTACTGGAACCATTCATCCATTACACTTTTAGTGTAGAGCATAGGATTGATAGAATTTCTATTTAAGTGACCAGAAAAGGCATTAAACTACCATCTAAAGAACTTAGATTCAATGTAGTCTTGGCATCTTAATCTTAAATTACTAAGATTTCCTCTTGACTTGAACTCAATACTTACCACATTTGCCATCTACTCCGTACAATTTAGTGTCGTGGGGTTGCATACCACAACCAAATGCAGTAACCCGTTGGGATGTAGTATTTTACTTTATTTTATAGCATTATAGTTATTACTTGTATAAAACTAATTGTATTCTGATAAGTACATGATAGACAAAATCAGAGTTGATAGTAACTTGATTTTGTTATGCAAATATGTAATACGGAGTATGTCTTTTTGGCATATTGCCTATCAATTTTTCACTAACTTTAGAACTTAGTAAAAGCCGCTTATATTTAGAGCCTGTTTGGTAGCACCAAAATCGGCTGTTTTGGCTGATTCTGCTGAAATTTATGATATTCTGGCTGGAGTGGCTGTTTTGGCTGATTCTGCTGATTTAAGAAAAAAAATATTTTAAAAATATATTTTATTAATAAATTAAAGAAAAAATTATATGTAAAAATAGCTAAAATGGTCCTCTACAGTAACTTCAGCCAATACAGCCAGAAAAGTAACTTCAACCTTACTTTTTCGGCTTATTACACAATTCAGCGCGCGAAAGTAAAAATTACGTGTTTGGTGAAAAAGCTGGCTGATAAGCCTGATAAGCCGAAAACAGAGTTCTCCAAACGGGCTCTTAGATGAGTTAATAGTGGTGTTGTGTATTATGTGTACAACGGAAAATAGTGGTGTTATGTACGCTAGTACATGTTTAATTCGCGTTTGAAAAGCAAAAAAGTTAACTTAGATGCGTACAGGAGCAGATTAAAGGAGTGTTTGGGTTTACTTAAAAAAAGCGCTTTTCAGCTTTTGGCTTAAAAAAAGTTGAAAAGAGTGTTTTCAAATGACAGCTTCTGCTTAAATTAATCACTTAAAAGCTAAAAGCTGGAAGCAGGTAGAAAGGTGCTTTAAACTGCTTCTCACTTTTTCTATTACACAAAAAGTACTTATTTTACCAAACACTACCAACTTTTACTTTTCCAGAATCACTTTTTTCTCAAACACTACCAACTTTTACTATTAATCACTTTTCCCAAAATCACTTTAAAAAATCACTTTTTTAAAGTTGAAGCAATTGCAAACACTCCCTAACTTAGATATCTCCGGTCCCGTCTACATTTTTTAGGGGAAACCCCGATTAATAATTTTTCAATTTTTTTTATACCGGTCCAATTCGTTTAGTGTCCTGACTCTTGCCAGAAATATATACTATCTACGTCCCATAAAGAGTTGCAAGTTTGATTTTTCTTAGTCAAATAGTCTCGTTTTGTTCAATTAATTAGGATGTCAATTTTTAATTATTTTCTAATTTGGTGTTTACAACTTTAAAGAGATATTAATGTAGTTTTGTAATATGGAGTATGCAAATTTTAATTATTAAAAATTGAATTAATTATCCATAAAGAAGATTGACTTTTATTGATGGTTGACCACAAAATGTTTACTTTGTAAAACAAATTGGGACGAAGGGAGTATGTAACACTCATGGTCTATTTCCATCATTTAATATCTGTAATCCCCTTCCCTAACCACCTACTAATATCAGTATCTGTATTTATTTTAGTCAACGGTTTTCGCACCGATATGATTACTGTGGTATACGTAATTCGGTACTGGTTTTGCACCAATCTGTGAAACGTGTCAGTAGTTTTTTTTTTTTATTAAAACAAAAAAGAAACCTTTTTATAATGCACGGAGTATTTTTAAAACTTCTATCACTTCTATGGGAGCGGTGCTACACTGTAGTTAAAATGGTCAAACCCTATTTATGATTGCACACGATTATTTTAATTTCCTGACCAGCTTAACCGTATATGAATCAACAGCATTGGTGAAAATTAATTAATTGGAGCTACTTGTTTTTTATTTTAATAATAATAATAATAGTCCTACGCTTGATTCATGACCTTCTGATATCAACCATGAAAAACATGTTCGAAACTCCCCACCAGCTGCTAGGGGTACACAACATTTGTCCTTCATATAGACGTTACACTTTGTCTATATGAAGGATTGCCGAAAAAGAGAGCCTCACGAAAGTCGAACGAAAGTCGCACAAGAAAATTGCACTTTGTCGAAGACGAAATCGGACAAAAACAACTCATAAATCTGGGTGAGACGGACGACTAGATAGAGAACTTCATAAATAAATATTTTAATTTCACCAATTATTTACCGATTTCTATGTTATGAAGCGGACGCCTGGAGAGAAGTTCATAAATAAATATTTTAATGTGACCGATTATTTACCGAATTCTGTGTTATGAAGCGGGTACTTAAAAAAATAAATTTAAACTCGATGTCGTGTCAGCTTAACGTTACGCCGTTGATATTATCTAGAGCGATCACCTCCGTATAAATACCTCAGCTGGGCTCGAAGGGCATGCGTTTCATGGTGCCCGAATAGATTCTCCCTTTTCCTTCCTTCTGTTTGCCCTTTTCTCTTTCTGCATATCCTTAATTTAGGACCAAAAAGTAGAATTTCTCACTTTCGGAAGATGGAAGGCGGCGGCAGGGAGGCGGAGAAGCGGAAGCGCCGGCAGGCCCAGGACAAGCTGTACCGCGGGATTCGCATGAGGAAGTGGGGGAAATGGGTCGCCGAGATCCGCGAGCCCAACAAACGATCCAGAATCTGGCTCGGGTCCTACTCCTCCCCTATCGCCGCCGCCAGAGCTTACGACACCGCCGTCTTTCACCTCCGCGGCCCGTCGGCGAAGCTCAACTTCCCGGAGCTTCTCGCCAATGAGGAATGGGTCCCGGACCTCTCGGCGGTGGACATCCGGAGGAGGGCGGCGGAAGTCGGAACTAGGGTTGATGCGCTCCAGATGGCAGGCCCGGATCAGCCCAACCCGGAGCAGAACCCGATCCAGCCCCGTGCGGTGGCGGTGAAGCCCGACCTGAATGAGTACCCGACTCCGGAGAGCTCAGGGGAGGACAACTCAGGTTACGGCGGAGATCAGTAGAGAGAGCGTATAGCGAATTTTCTGCAGCGGCCGTTTGTATAATCCAAAAGGATTCGTATGTGTTTATATGTTTCTCCAAAGTAGTAGCTGTTCAAAACCTTGAATTAAATTCCGTTAAATATAGACAATCAATCTTTGATCTGTTTTCATATATCCATCCAGATATATCGATCTTCTCTTGATTTATGTGTTTTGAAACCCAACCCCTGAACTCCCCAATTTGAAGAACTGAACATCCTTCTCCTCCGATCCTCTGCCCAGATTATGGCCTTTCTGTTCATGAATTTGTTGATTTGATTAGTGGATTGTTTGGGTGTGTTTTGAATTCACTGTTACATTGGCGTGGAACTGGGGAGGTGGTGGCGGGGGACGCATGAGGATAAGGGGAAACAGCCAAACAGGGTGTGGCCTACCTGCAAAGCTGCTGCAGAACCAACCAGATTGTGTACTTTGGCTGCTCAGAAAAAATTACTCGGCCGTTCTATTTGGACATGTCTATTCCTGAGGGAGGCTGAAATAGGCTATTTTCTAGGCTGAATTCATTTAATCCATTAGATTTGTGACTTGATTCCCCTCGTAAAATTTGATCAACCTTTACTTCCTCGTGAAATTAAAAAGTAAAAACGATATGATATTTGTTTAAAAGTGAGAGAAATAACGAGAAATAAATTGCAAAATTGGACAAACTTAAAAACATTAAAAAATAGCAAATCTCTAGAAGGTTGTACGTAGTAATATACTTTTGATCCTGAACTTTTCATCCTAGATAGCTAATGTAGTAATGTATCTGTTTTAATCATGATTTCTCTCACCTGGTCCTCAACTTTTCATCCTAGACAGCTAATAATGTATCTGTTTCAATCATGACTTCTCTCACCGGCTGTTTTTTAATCATGACTTCTCTCACCTGTTTTGTACGGAGTATTGTTCATCGTATTGTTGATTAGATATTCAACATTTGTTTCGCTTAGTTATCACTATGATTACCAACATTCACCGTTACCTTGTGAGAAACACTACCTTCATCCCACACTATCGTCTCCCATGCTCGAGTACCTCTACTCGCCCGAGCACCTGTATTCTCACCTGTTTTGTATTGTTCATCGTTCGTTGCTTGAATATTCAACTTTAGTTTCGCTTGGTGACCACTGTGATTACCTACATTCGCCGCTACCTTGTGAAAAGCACTACCTTCATCCCACACTATCGTCTCCCATGCCCGAGTACCTCTACTCGCCCGAGCACCTTTATTCTCACATGTTTTGTATCGCTCATCGTTTGTTGCTCGAATATTCAACTTTCATTTCGCTTGGTAACCACTATGATTACCTACGTTCACCGCTACCTTGTGAAAACACTACCTTAATCCCACACTATCGTCTCCTATGCCCGAGTACCTCTACTCACCCCGAGTACCTTTATTATCGCACATGGCCGCATTAACATTAATTTTGATCCAAAAGTCATAATAATAACAACAACAAAATTGAAACGCTAAAATGCTTCTCCCCCCTTTTACCAAGTGCAAGTATGGAGAACTTCACATGAATCATAATCAGAACACATGAGTTGCGTTCCTGTACATGTCATATTATTACTCCCTCCCTTTTACTTAAGAAGTTTAAGTATATTGTCTAAAACTCGGTTTAATATTCTTTAAATCAGTGATCTGCCTAATTAATTTGTTATTTTAGAATTTAGATTTCCCTTTTAATAAATTTCTATGGTAATTTATTATCTATGTATATGTAGATTTTACATATTCATAAGGAGTACTAAACAATTTACTGACTGTGTTCCAAAATTGAGTTGTCATGTAATATTCATGTATCAACTCAAATTGCCTTTACCCTCTAACTTTATCAAATTTGAATTCCATTTTTGCGATTCAGACTAACTTCTAATTTTGAATGTTTAAATTTTAATTATTTATAATAATTTATGGATTGAAGGTGATCACGTAACTTTATCAAAAGCTAAAATGATAAAGCTTAATAGAGCTTATTTGTAAGAGGGAAGGAGTATATTATACTACCCCCGTTCTCTTTTAATGAGATATTACCCAAAACGGGACTTAAAAAGTTTGAAAATTCCAAAATAGGACTTCCATGTTTTTTTCCCCAAAATAGGACTAATTACTGCCATGTTTTGGCACTACCAGACTTCAAACATGACAGTATTTTCCAAATTTGGCAGTAATTAGTCTTATTTTGGGAATAAAAACATGACAGTCCTATTTTGGAATTTTCAAACTTTTGTAGTCCCATTTCGGGAACTTTCCCTTGCAACATTGGACTTTTTGCACTATTCACATATTTTACTTTGTCTACATTTTATTTATTAATGTATTATAAAATAAATTTTTAAAAATATTGTTAAATTCTTCTCATTTTAAATTTTCAAATTATGAATTTTTTTAATTTTTTTACTAAAAAAATGAAAAATATTGATGGTCAAACTTGTGCGTTGGCAAACATGAAATGTTGATTGTTGCAATTAAAAAAGAACAGGGGAAGTATATATTTACGGATATACCCGGTCCGAATCCGAGACCCGCCGAATCCAAATCTGGAACATATGTTTAGGACCCGAAGTGGTAAATGGGTCCGGATCTGGACCAAAATAATCACAACGGATATGAATATGAAATTTATAGTTCCGGCCTGTATCCGACCCGTTGACCGGCTAAGTATATAATATCAAGGGAGCGTTGAGTAAGGGAGTACGATCCGGGAAGTGTTGACTTTTAATTGGCTAATCATTGTAAATTCATAAATGAGTCTGAGATAGATAGAATATCTTTTAAAAATAGAAATAATTACATAAATATGGCCAAAATAAAGATGGTTTACAAAAATATGATTCATTACTAGAGTAGTAATGAAATCATAGTAATTCATGTTCAAGTTTTGAACTTTAGTTACCACAGCACTACATTGTAGTAATGAATAGTCATATTTATGTAAATAAGTTTTATTTTAGTAATATTCTCGTAAAAAACCCTTAAAAATATATTGATGAAATAAAGTAAAAAGGTGAGTAAAGTTCATAAATCAAACTCATTATGTTTCACTTTAAAAATAATACTTTTAAGACATTTTTGGAGTATGTGTTAGCCGAATTAGCTCAAATCTCTTGCAAAATAAATGTTAGAAGCAAAAGTCGCTGTGATCACAAAGAATTTTTTTTATGTCTGGAAATTGCTTAAAAAATACATTATACAAAGAACTATTTTTTGTTTTGATAAAAAACTTACCGACAAGTTTCACAGATTGGTGCAAAACCAGTACTGAATTACGTATACAGCAGTAATCATTTCGGAACAAAAAGAGTTGACTAATATAAACTGAGATTACGGAAATTAAATGATTGAAATAGACCATGAGCGTTACCTACATATCATCATACATATCACCACTATTTTCGGTTGTGCCAAAAATACATAACACCACTATTTTTGTTTTGAACAACATAACGCCATTATTAACTCCTCTAAATATAAGTGGCTTATACCAAGTTCTGAAGTGAAAATTTGATGGGTAATCATGCCAATAACACATACTCCGTACTACATATTTGCATAACAAAACCAAATTACTATCAAATTTTCTATCAAGTACTTATCAGAATACAATTAGTTTTATAAAAACTGTAATACTATAGAATAGAGTAAATCACTACCTCCCAACTGGTTACTGCATTTGCTTGTGGTACGCAACCCCACGGCACTAGATTCTAGATGGCAAATGTGGAAAGTATTGTGTTCAAGTCAAGAGGAAATCTTAGTTTTTTAAGATGCCAAGACCACATTGGAGCTATATTCTTTAGATGGTAGTTTAATGCCTTTTATGGTCACTTATTAAGTAGAAATTTTATAGATCACATCAATCCCCTATGCTTTACATTAGAAGTGTAATGAATGAATGGTTCAAGTAGACCACGTCGCACGAATATTTAGATTTTGCGCGAAGTTTTGAGTTAAAATCCAATGAGGTAAATTTGAGAGATTTTTCTCAAGTGTGAGTTTAACTTTTTACTCGAAATATGACCGGGTTTGATAAATAGTGATGGTTCTTCCAAAAGTTGCATTGGGGAAGAAGTTAAACAACTAACTGTTGAGAAGTCATAGTTAAACAACTAACTTCTTCCATTAGTGCTTTATATCCATAGTGTTGAGACGCCGGCACAGCTCCCCCCCCCATAGGTTCCTCCTATCGCCGTTGTTCTGATATAGTATGTAGTAACGTCACCCCGTGGTGCAAAACGTGCCATGACATCCGATGGAGGTCACAAATACTTATCCTATTCACTAACAAAATAGGATACCATATCAAAAGATTAATAAATGTAAAGGATGTTTTCAGAATAGCATTACAAATATGTATCTTATTAGGAGCACTGTGATAGAAGGACTAATTAAAAGAGTATTCATTATTCGTTTTAGTGTTCTACTTTTCGTTTGAATTAAATCAGCTACTCAATTAGAATAAGGTCAACAGGGAGGAGTTACTTCATGAATAATGCATCGTCTTCAACAAAGTGCATTTGAAATAGTAACACTCACCCCCTAACCCCTTCGTATGGCCTTAATGATTGATAGGAATGTTGAAGTTATTTAACAAGTACTCAATCTTTAATAATCATAATTATATTTATAAAATCACATAAAAACGTTCAAATTAATTTGTATAATTCATAAGGGTTTGATAGGCTCTAGCTTGAATTGAACCAAGCACTATGATGGCTGAGCTCGGCTTGAATAAGTATTCAAGCACAAAATCGATTTGGGTCATGTTCGAGCTCGAAACTCATTAAGCTGGCTCGTTAGATAATTCTGAACCGATCTCAAAACTCATTAAGTCATTGAGTTCAGCACGTCAGACTCGGAATTGTGCTCAAACTAAAATAGTTCAAAGAAACTCTATTCGACAACAGCCTACTGGAGACTACCACAAATTCATTCAAGTTCTCAATTTAAGGCTTGATCAGTTTTTGATAAAATTATTGTTTCACTTATGATGTTTTTACTTGGATTGTAATTTGCTGGTCTGGTCTGAACTGGTCTGGTCTAATAATGTCTGCTCTCGTATTTTTATAACTATCCAAATAAAAATATCCTCATAGTAAAAGGAATTGTCCATAGGACTTCTGTGGGGGGAGTGTCGTTTTCAATTTTGAACCGAATTGACCAAATAATGTATTAATGTGCATGAGGTGCTTGAGGTAATTAAAACTCACTCCCATA